GAAACTTTAGGTTTAATGAAAACACTGGTTCGCGCGCTGCTTCACGTTACGAATTGAAGAATGCGCGCCGGAGAGTGGCGCGGACCCTATGGGGACTTCCAATTTTCGCTTCGAACGTTTATGTACGAAGCAATATTTTACCTCCAATTTCACAGAAGGTGAAATTTAATCAGACTCCAAATATTCTGATTCATAAATGTCTATTTCATATAACCGCTACAAAGTTCTGATGACATATTAATTTGGTCCGATTATCCGATAGTTTTTTCCGAAGTGCAAAATGAAATGCACCTCGAAATTTTTTTTTACCATTTTGAGTTAGGTGAGTGGAGGCAATAATGATTTACTAGTATTTATCACTTTTTAGAACTTCTGAAATTTTTTGTGTGATTTTCTGAGATTTTTTTAATAATTATTTTCATATCATTCACTCGTCACCGGCACCCAGAGCCCGATTCAAGGTGCTGAGTGAAGAGCAAGTTCATATACCGGCCCAATTTACAATGCGCCGTGAATATTAACACCTGAAGTAGGGGACCTATGCAAGTCTACGGGGTATACATGCATCCTTCGGTTCGCGACAAACATGGAACTTTGTTTGATTTTGTGTTCCAAAGCACATTATGATAGGCCTTTGTATAAAAGTATGTGTGTTCACAGTGTCCAAAGTTCCACTTTCGGGTTTGACGAACCCCCCCCCCGTCTCTGGTCAGGCAACAGGCCTGACTACATCTGACTCGGACCGGCTGGCCGACCCCAGCATGGTGGTCAAGCGGTTAAGACGTCTGCACTAGTAAACAGGAGGTCGTGGGTTCGAGTCCAATCCGAGTACTAAAGCTTGTGAATGTTTGCACAAGCTCTCGGAAAAACACTAAGTACACCGTGTATAATGCCATGGTGTAAGGGCAAAAGCCATTACTGAAATTTAGCATCTTCCCACGCTAAGCACCTCATGCAACAGCTAAAAGCGGTCAATCGATTTTACGTCGGGAGAATCATTTAGAATATCCAACGTCATTTATTTTATCTTGGAAAAGTCCAGTGAGCCCTAGCCAGCCCACCCCTCCGAGAAGCACATGGCCACTGTAACTGACTGTTACAACTATGCTGTCAACCTTTGCGAAAATAACCACAAATTCAACATGAAAAACAGCAATCAATTGGAATATTGTCGCATCAACCAAGACAGGTTTAGAAGGAAACGTGTTCAACGGACCATTAAGTAACTTAAAATCCATTTTGTTGGTAAAAGCGTCCCACACTTTATTGTGAACACATTAACTTTACACATCAAGATTTCTTGAAGCACTTACTTCGTTTAGCCGACCTGAATAGTAATAATGATATAACTACGAATTGTTCGATTTTCAAATAAAGTTCAGCTGAATTAAGTAGAAATCTGTAATGACCATGCAGTTACTTCTGCACATCTGAACTTTCATTTGGCTAACGAGAAAAACAAGCAATAACAAACAACCCGCTCATTTGTAAGAAGTTTAATTTTGACCACCGATCGAAATGACCTCGAATGTTTGTGCACGCAAACGGAAACCACAGAGGAGGTTTGTAGGTGTGCAGTCCCGTGCTGGAGTACGAGGCTACGACTCACCTCTCTGAGGAAACGACGCAGCCTTCCTGTTGTCAGGGTTGCGCACCGTGGGTGACGTCAAACTTTTCACACCATGAAATATAAATCTTGATAGTTCGCATTGTACGTCAATGGAAGCATTATTACAAATTGCCAAAGATGAACGACGGAGGAAATGAAAACAGCGGTTGATAAAGTGCACAAATAGCCTAAATTGAAAGAAAATGGTAACCTAGGCCTACAATACATGATCAGCACCTTAAATATAGGTATATACAAAATCAACGTATCGCAATCCAACAATTTTTTCATGGAAATTCCCAGACTCAAACTAATTAAGTGATTCGAAAAGATCTACGTGCTGTTGGGAGCAGAGCATTGGTAAACGTGCTCTTTTTTCTGGGAAACGTTAGAGAAATGTTTGTAATGTAAACGCACTTGTTGGAAAATCGATTACTATATTCTCACTATTCGTCTACCAAAACAACCAAAAATGACCCCGAATCTCTTGGACAAATCAAAAGTTCTCCCCAAGTTGAATTTGTAACCAGGACAAAGAGTCGCTTGGAGCCCCTGGAGGTACATTTAAGTAAGTTTTCTTCGCATTACTTATAGGAGCTAAATATTAGGGACTCCATAAAATCTGCTCTGGTCGATAACACAAGGAATGTTTAGCAGGTACAGAGACTTCCGATTTAACAAAAAAAAGACTTTGTAAATATTTGACAAGATGAAATGATTTCATTAGACGCAGGCGTGTTTTATTTCTTCAGCACTGTTTGCAATTTAAGCATGTAGAGAATCTTGAAGACATACCTTCAGACTTGAAAAAAGGAAATGGTTCACCCAATGGCTTTCCATTAGAAGTTAATGACATTGTTATTTTGGGAAGTTTGCTAGACTTTTTTAATGAGAGGTATTGTCCCAACTTGTCTTCCGCTTCGACCTCATTAAGAAAACGTGCAGCCACATGCATTGACCGCGAGCTACCTAGCAGCGCTGTAGAAGTTGCGGGAAGAAAGTGTCGTCCTGTTTACCCGCCAAAAATGCAATCGTGTGCTACGTCAGTATGTGCATATTTTTAGAATGTCTGTCTTCTCTTGTTAAGCTATTTCCGGATGGACATGTGCAACTGTCAATTTTTCTTTCAACAGCGTATCTCAATATGAAGCATGTTATCTTTTTGAAAAATTCTAATTTTCGTGACGTTTATACAAGTATGCATCACAGTGTGGGCCAATCGGTACAAAACTCAATTTAAATGACGTATTATCTGAAATTTGGCAATAATGGTCGCAACAAAGAAACCAAATTGCAAGATGCTCAAGGTCTTAACTTATTCAAGCAGTAACGATCTTCCACCCTTGTAGCCCATTTTGGTCAAAGAACAAAATCTATAATATTCAAATTTAGAACATGAGACACATTGAAATCTGAACAGATGTTTCCTACATACAAGCTGACTGACGTTAAGTGGCTTGCTTGTGGACAATGCTACGGATCTGATCTGATCGTCCTGACCCTGAAAAATAACTCACAGTTAAGTTATGTTTGTTTGTTTGTTTGTTTGTTTCCTGTCAGTGCGCAGTCAGACTACTGCGGCCCCAGGGTGTCCACCCCCAACGCCCGTCGCCAAACTCGTACAGTTCATCAACGGCGTCGATGTCAACAGTCAGAGCGCAGACTGGTACCCGGTCGGCACCCGCGCGACGGCACAGTGTCGCTCCCCTGGGGAAATGCGCCTGATGGGGAACAGAAACGGCCAGACCTGCCGCAGCGATGGCAAATGGAGTGGCCAACCTCCGTGTTGTGGTAAGTTTTTGATGATTTCAATCTGTCGCTTATTTTTCCCAGACAGTTTGTCACGGTTAAGCATTCTAAGAAAAATAAACCACTTAAAGGCCCGGTAAAAAAAGTTTCTAGACCTTTTTAAATGGACCGATTCTGAAAGGATTTTGTTGACACTGATCCTTTCTCCTTTTGCTGGTGATTTTCTGTCTCAAGGAGACTTCACCGCATGTAGGAGGGTTTAATATTGCAATTCGAGCTAGATATTTTGTTAGAAATAAGTCAACCTTTGAAAAACGTTGCAAATACAAAATATGTTAAAAAAGAGAAACTACGAAAATGGGAAACAGGGATGACAAACTGCTTTCTTTTCCATCTGGCCCAAAGTATGCATCCTCAAAGTGATCCCCGTCTGATTATTAAATAGGGGAGTATTTTTCTTATAATCATCCGCTAGGGGATGTCACTAGGAGGATCAGCGTCACTGGGGGCGCTGTGCAGCGCGTCATGCCAGATGGTGGTTTGACCGTTTTCGTCTCATCAAACACCGACTACGTGGAGGTCCGCTGCTCGATTGACAGGGAAGAGCCCCTCCTGGAAGCGCCGCACATAACGGTAAGTTGATAGCGGAAATATGAAAAAGGGGAAGGACGCCTGGAAGTGAGGCTACAAGTGTGCTCAACGAGAGACTGTACGGGCACAATCACGGCTGCGTTTCAAGGATTTAGCCAAGGCAGTCATAACCAGCCAACCGTTGTTGCTGTGGCTCAGTTTCCCTTTCAAATCTTGCTATGTTAGAAGCTTTGCTTAGTAGCCATCTTGCAGAGCCATTCTTTGGTTCCACAGGGGAACCTCCTTTGTCCACACCCTTTGGAACAAATGAACTGTCCTACCACACAAAGCCCCTAAAGTCGTGCTGAAATTTCCGAACAGATGTACCCGCTGCTACATCTGATTCGAACCAGCCAACCGATTCTGGCAAGCTCGGTGGTTGAGTGGTTAAGACGTCTGCACTAACAAGCAATGGGGCGTGGGTTCGAGTCCCACCCGAGTATGCTTGTGGTTTTTTTTACAAGCCTTCGGGGACATACACTGAGTATGAAGTGTTAAATACACGTCGGGCAGGGCAAAAATTGAAAGTTACTTTACATCTGCCCGGCGCAAACCCATTTTTGAACAAGTTTAATACTTTGTTGATGTCAAATCTTAGCATGCCCTTTCCCAGCCGAGGAAATTCGTCCTTATAGCTAGCTATTCAATACAGCATAGAGTGCAACCAAAATAAGTCGGCGCAATACGGGCGTTTCACAATAGTGCGCCTCCAGTTTTCAACCCGTTGGCCAATCACAATGCGCAAAATCTGTCAACCCAATGCGCGTTTGGAAATGGTCGACAAATTTCGCGCGTTGTGATTGGCCAACGTGTTGCAAGCTCTTGGAGGCGCACTATTATGAATCACCCGTATTCTGGGATTTTTTTATTATAGGTTTTCCCGCGCAACTTTTTAAAATTGGCACTCCAAAAAAGTTAGACTCATTCAATTTAGCGCGATATCGATTGACGATCCAGATCAACATTCAATCGGCCAAAATAATCCTTCAATTTCACTCTATGAGCATGCAATTGTAAATTCTTGTTAAACAAATCCACTAGAGTTGCTATTTAATTTAGAAAGTCATAGAAACAGCAGTCCGATTCGCACGGTCACTCCGTGGTAAGCGTAAAATGCATTCGATTTTGTGTATGGGCAAACATTTCTGACATCCGTGTGATGTTTTTCATCAAAGTCTGATTTACAAATTTGACATGTTTTAGATTTGAGTAATTTCTTCAAATTACATCATGAAGAAAACCTGTTTCACTGGCAGAAATATCTCTCTACACTAAATATCACCTTGTTCTCGAGCATGGGGTTCTTGCTCATTGTGTGTTTATCGATGAAATTGGATATAACACCTGGACTAGATGCACCCAAGGTACAGCCCCAAGAGGCATTCCAGCGAGTAGAGTTGTTCATGGGCAGCAGGGATACAACTGTAACATCAGGTTTGCGGTGTATGGTGCCATTGGTTTGGTGCACCATCGAGTTGCTTTTGAGACTGTGACACGGGAGACATTTAAGCAGTTCCTCGCCGAGACAGTGGAGGAATGCAAGGCATGATTTCCTGAGGATGACGATATCTTCCTCGTGTACGACAACGCCAGACCGCACGTGCGAGCTGAGCTACCTGATGGAGTCAACCCAAACATCCAGACCAAGCTGCTTCTACCATTCTCACCGTTTTTTAACATGACTGAGATGGCCCACTCGGCCTTCAAAGCCGCTGTGAAGAGGATCCTTGCTCTCCCGGGAGGCAGCAACGAGTCGGAGACAGGCTGGCAGCTCAGCGACCTGGAATCAATCTCAAACAGTGGAGATGCGACCTCCTGAGAGAGGTTGCGGTGCAAAGTATCGATGCTATAACACCTACATGCCAAGATGCTTGGCACGCCAAGAAATTGACGGCTGAAGACGCAAGATGTATCATACAAACCTGATAGGCAAATTATGAATACTTAAGACCAAAGTCTAAGGTTTATCTATAATTTACGCGTTTGTTTCTGCTTGAATCATTAATTAAAACGAGTACAACAAATGATCGCATTCTTGTTTTCTGGTTGAATAATGGTTTTTAAAAAGACAAAATATTCAATCTTTTCAGTGGTAAATTTTTCGTGTAATTCGAAATTTCGCGCTGGAAAAGAAAGAATGACGAGACGACATTATCCCCAGGAAAACATTTAACAGAGGAAAAGAATTTATAAAGTTGAATGAAAAGGTTGAGGTAATAAAGTTTCAGGGCAAATATCGTCAGCAATCAAGACATTTCTGGAACTGAACAGCTAAACTCAATCTTGTCTCCAGTATTTAGGCTACGCGTTCTTTTAAAAGCTTGCATTGCGAATATCAGTGCCCATTGACGAAAATGAAAGTAAAATTAAGGTACGAATCCACCTTCCAGTCACCCAGAGCAAAATTGAATGACACTTGTGCAAAGTGAAAATGAATGACACTGTTACAAAACTGAATTAGTGAAAGTACACTATTCGACGTCTACAAACAAAATTGAGTGCGCAAACTTTGGAAAATGAACCAAAGGAGTAATTGGCTTTGCGAAATCGCTCAAATGAGAATGCATGTTCATCAATTCGACTGCTGTATAGACTAATTCGGCCGGGAAAACCTATATTATTTTTTTATAGGTTGACAACGTCCGAGTCCAGATGCAAAGCATCAGAGGTGATTCTGGCCGGGTATCCTACATGACTTTCAGCCCGGTTCAAGCGACAGACTCTGGAGAGTTTGGATGCAGAAAATCTGCCAATCCCAGCTCCCCAAACAACCTGCGAATCGAGTTCAAAGGTAAGCTGTGACCAGTCACCACTGCGCAATCAATCAAGCACAGTGCCTCCCTTTGCTTATTCGTAGAGACCAAATGATCAACATTCTTTGTCACAAAGCGCTTACCACATATCTGAATAGCTCGTCAAGCAGAGACCTTTATCATGACCATTCTAAACACACTGAAAGTTTACTTCCGATATGGAATGGATATGTGTTACCGTCATTTTTTTATTTTGTCACAAACAGAGGTACTACGTGCATTATAGGAACAAAGCTGATTTATTCCCCGCCTTATATTATTTCCGAGGTGGTAAGAAATACCAATTACCTGTCTTGTGGATTGAATATTTTATCACAACGTCAGCCGATTTTTTTAGACCTTACATTTGTCTCCTCTAATCTCTTACGTGCGGGGTACTACTAGTTATTAATAATAAGAAGGGAATACCCAGTACAAGAGGCGAAAAGGTGACGGCATGCAAATGACATATGGAAATTCACTGCCACCTCTTTGTTTTGTTTTTTCTGCAACAACGTCAGAGTTTAGTTTGTCAAATCAGCTTCAGTTGAACTGCCCAGCTGACATCGTCCAGGCTACTGATCCGGGGAGGGATATTGCAACGGTGACATGGCCGGAGCCTACAGCTCTTGTATGTTCATTATTGCATAAGTAGCAATAGCCGACCTCTTTGAATATGTTAGACTTCTTTCTTTACGGCATTGTGTCATTTGAAAATAAAAATTGCCGCCCGATTTCACTTTTCTTTGAATACTGAGATTTAAGATCGTGAGTACGCAAACCGTCAGTTAGGCTGTGTCCTAAGCAGCGACTGTGTCTATAGGAAGTGGCTGCATATGCAGCATCAATAGCCAGTGGTTTCCATAGCCGCAAGCGTTATGTCCAGGCGCAGCTGCAACTGCTGGACATGGACCCTATTTATTAATGCAAGAGGGCGCCATTTGCCCAAAGTAGGTGGGGAAAGTATTGATGGAGATTCTGTCACCCCGGATGACATTGGCCAGGTTGCCTAGGATATTATGCCTCCCAAGATATTTTGTCCTAGTTTACTCCGTCTGCCTTGCACAACGAAAATAATGGTCTATACAAACCAGATTCGGATCACCAAATGGAACCACTGATAAAGTGTGTATATTATAATAGACGGAGGTGTGAGAGGTTGCTTCAAAAGTGACAACGCATCAGGAACTCGCACAAAATATGTTGGTGCCGATGCAGGCGTGATATGATCTGAGTCAGATTACGCTAAGAAATACAGAGTTCTGTCAGTGCCCTGCAGTAGAGAACGTGCATGAAGCTGTTCGTATTTTATCATTACAGACAACTTCTGAGATAGTGGAGTTGAATAATACTCATTCGCCTGGCGACATCTTTCCCATTGGAGAAACAACGGTCGTCTACAGTTTTAAAAATGCTGCTAACGAGGTTGCCGTTTGCAGATTTACCATCACTGTCATTGGTGAGTATGAATATTTAAATGATGAAATAAAAGGAATTGATAAATAATGAATAAATCCAGCATTAGAAATCTAGAGTACTGTATTCTTATTTTGGGTCCGCATTTTACGCAGATGAAGAAAAACCGACTTTCCTGACGTGCCCGAACGACTTCGACGTAGGGACAGGTCCTGACTCTGCTATGGCTGTGGTAGAGTGGGCTCCAATCATTGCCCTGGACAATTCCCGTGTCATCTCAGCACCGGAGGGCAACTATCAGTCTGGTACCACCTTTCCTACAGGGGAAACGCTCGTCTCCTACATGGCAAGAGACGAAGCCGGCAATGTTGAATTCTGCAACTTTACGGTCTCTGTTTCTGGTGAGCTAATGAACTTATGTTGTCGCTCCAAGCTGTAATGATTCGTCTTTGCTTGAAATCATATGGCTCTCGTCATTTCTTTATTAATACTAACTACCAGGAAATGTAGCCTTCTTTTTAATTTAAGTGCAGATGGATAAATGTCATTATACATCGCTTTCTTTAATCAATTAAACTCACCCATGCTAAGAGCAATTCATTGTTTGAGTGATTTGAGTGAGAGGGTTTGCTCGTTCAAAGTGATTTCTTCCCGATGTATTTTTGGATAATCCTTCTTCATTTTGTGCAAAATCAGAAAAAACGGTCTCAGCAAGTGATAACTAAAGTTTATCTCACTGAAAATTCAACTTTAAAATCACTCGAATACACATAACGCACCTGAAACGATAAGTTATTTTTCAGCTGGACACGGATAAACAGTAGAGGATGCTTTACATTGTTCGTGTCTAATTCACCTTGGAATACTTTTCCAGATCACGAACCTCCAACCATTTACAACTGTCCTCAGTCCGTTGTTGCGAGCATCACGAATATGTCTGTGAACTCTGTGCCAGTCTACTGGACGGAACCCACTGTAACGGACAACACGGAATACTACAGCCTTCATTCCACGCGCGAGCCTGGGAACCAGTTCTTTTATGGGACCACGGATGTGGTGTACACTGCGCGAGATATGTCAAACAACGAGAACATATGTGTCTTCCAGGTCACAGTTCTCGGTAAGACAGACATCCCACGACGAAAACCTTGTCCGCACTGGACCTTTTTTCCCCAAGAGTTTTTATGGAGCTGATGGTAAATTGAAAATGGTCCAATGTGACCACTGTCTGCACTTAGACTTTCGACAGGGGAAATTTTACACCTTTTGCAAGTACTCTCTAAATACAAAAAGAGTGAGTCACTCATAAAACCCACATAAACAGACCGAGATCTAGTGATGAACACCACTCCCAAAGAGTGAAATTAATACCCTGCCAATGAGCCATACAAAGGAAAACTCGAAAAAGAGTTGTCCTTTAAATGGCTCTTCTTTTAGAGTGCTTTTCACTGTTTTCGAGTGGATTTACAAGGGACTCACTGTTTTGAGAGTGAGTTTTTCACTCTTTTACCTTTACAGAATACAAAACAAAACACTTTGCGTGACCTTTCTGCATTGTGTTTTGTCCTCAGACACAACGCAGCAGTCCTCATTCATCTGGAAATGTATACTCCTAACACCGTTTAATCTTCCCAACTGTATCAATAATGATTTCTGCCATGATTGGGACCAAAAGAGGAACAAAACTGTACTGGAAATATTCGCCACATGCTACACCACGGCAACATGCAAACGTGCAATGCCCATACGTAGTTTCCCTGTATGAAGCGTGTCTTTGTGCTTGGGGCACTGTACGCTCCACTGAGCCGCTGTCAACGAAGGGCGGACATCCGGGTTACTTTGTAGTGGAGCAAAAACACATGCGGCGTCCATTCAGAGAAAAAAATGTTTCATTTTGTAACTGGGTTTCTTAATTAGCTACTAAAGTCTCCTTTTGCGAAAGAAAACACTGAAACTTGCGGGCTGACTTGAAACAAGTCGTACAGTGTGTCGGAAATTGACAGCAAAATTATCGACGATTTGGTAGAGTTGCAACATGATATGGTCCTCCAAAACTATCCTCATCCCCAAAGAAAACATTCAAGGCCTTCCAATTTCCTTGTCAGGAACTTTAAGTGTTCAGCAAAGTTCCAGAGTTTAAGGGACACGCCAAACAATTATTTTTCCACATTGCCTAAATTTACACCTATGTGTTTCAGTTACGCTTGGTTTCAATTTTAGTTTTGCTACTTTAATCTATATTTGGAGCATCATTTGTTTTATGCTAAAGAAAATGGGCACATTTATGATTAACACGATGTCTTTCCTTGCGCTAAACAAGTCTTGTATAATCTGGCAGGCTTATTCACAGACATACAAACCCACCAAAATTTCTGAGCATGCCTCACGTGCTCAAGTTACCATAAATAATTGCGCATGCCCACTGCCAAAAACCGCAGTCTGCATTATGCGCGGTCATTGTATTGATCCTTTAACAAAAATGTTTTTGCACAGACAAAGTTTCCCCTGTGTTCGCGGACTGTCCTGCCAGCCAGGCACACTACCTGGGCCAGAACGAGACCGAGGTGGCCGTGTACTGGCGGCGGCCGGCCGCGGGGGACAACATCGATATCGTCGGCCCGACGGTGCCGTCGCACACGCCCGGTGAGCGGTTCGGGCTGGGAACGCACACCGTGACCTACACGGCCCGGGACCTGGCTGGTAACAATGGGACATGCGCCTTCAACGTGACGATCAAGATAGGTGAGCAGGGTCCAAATTCGATATGTGACACAGGTCCCAACAGCTTTCGCAACGCTTGAGTTAATTTTAGGATGCTCAAACTGAAGGAAGCAATAGTGGACTGGAGTGTGTTTTGGCTACCCTTAACCAGAAACATGTTATACATGTTCGTGACGTCAAAGCAATAACCAGGAATTTCTTAATGGTGGCCTACAGAATATGAAGAACAAGAAACGGTTATATCATCCTACAGAGGCAAACGTTAGGAAGCAGACGACACTGTTGATTTACATAATTTTCAATCAATATTCTTCATGTTTCTTACCAGTGCTGCCCCCTTGGTTAACGTACGTTCCAGAGGAAAGTATCTCTTCGATTTTGTGTATGTAACAACAAATTTTGAAATGTCTGTTTATTTTCCAACATTTTAAACCGGCATTGAACAAACTCCAACCTTTAGTTCTCTGTTGGTCGGAACAATGACGTCACAGACTGAGGCATAACCAAGTCAAGAAAATGCGTAACTAATGACCAAAGCTGAAACGACTTCACGGTTCATGCCACCTACGTCTCATAAAGTTTCCTAGTGGTGAGCAATATTCATGAGTTGCACAAACCAAAACAAAACGGCGAACTAATCGCAAGAAACGTCCACCGCATGCCATTTTAGTCGGTACTGTAATACTGTCTTGTGGTCTAAACTTGATCTGTATGTAGCTGTTTTGTAGCAGAAACTGCTTAGCAAGTTTATATACTAAGCAGGAATCACCTTGGACAAATCGAAAATATCAAGTTATATTTTGCTGAGGTGATATTGTTAATGGATAAAGATGAATGATCCTAGTCCCACTCGAAATCTACAAGAACAAAATTTTATCGAGAAACTTTGCTAAGTAAGGGTTTTCTGCTTAGCCAGTTACATGACGTCTTGATGTCTCGTGGTATGATGGCAGGTCACAGTGAAATGGAGACGACAATCGTGATGATCATGATAGAAACATTTATCTATGCATTGTTTTCATTGCTATTTCTCTCCCTTCGTAGCCCAGTGTCAAGATGAGGTCACTCCGTTTTCTGAGGGTGTCCTAACATGGACATCGGCCTTTCCTCATGAGCTGAAACCCTCACTAGAGCGATGCTCCGTCTACACGGAAAAAGGTAACACATTATGAATAGATATGCACGAATCGGTCATTCAGCTTGTCATTGTATAGCCTTTCATTTCACACTTCATGCTTAACACAATCCCAGAAAAAATATTAAGTCAATAGTTCAAAATTCCTCATTTTGGAATCATTATTAGTGCAATGCAAAATTTGTGCCTTTTGACGTCTCATTCTTAATACTCTTTTCAAAAATGAACTTTATTTCGAATCGTTTTGATGTAGCTGGCAATTTTCGTGCGTTACGAGAGTGCATGCCGGACGAAGATCAGGGAGCAGTGTGGCTTGAGCCGAGGCTAAATGACTGTGGTGAAGTCAGAGACTCCATCGATTTGGACGATCTCCAAAAGGTACCAAGCTAAACTCCAAAGCATACGCGCCCAGACTCGGTAGATCTATCAGAGAGTCTGTATTCTTCGTGGCAGCATTTGTAGCTTCCTTTTGCCGTTACGAAGCAGTCTTGCGCATGCCCGAGTTCAATATGAAAGGGAAGAGTTAATTACACCCACTCATTTGCTTTTTCCAAATGATGAAAACTCCTGGAGTAGCAGGTCTAATTTTAACTGAAAGTTTATATAACCGGTCTGGCATTCAAAAGCTCAATCAGGGGCCATTGTGATGGCACCTGGCAACGGTGAATGTGCGCGTTCGTACAAGAACAGCTACATACCAGATGTCTAATAAAATGGAGGATATCACAGATAATAAACTCTGTGCTTTTACCTTAACACGAACAGGTCTCTGTTGGTGAAGGTAACGTAATGGAAGTTTCTCAAGCCGTGGCCAAGACCGTCTCTAACATGACGTCAGAACTTGCCGACAACCTGGAACCTGTCGCTAGCATCTTGCAGAACATTGTCAACGCCGGCTCGCCATCAGTTGAGGTAGGTAGGAAGTCTCTCCATCTTTGAAGAGTTGACTTAGGCAGGACCAAAATGATATCAATGTATTTTCCCAAATATATATATTTTTTAATGGAATAGGTCACCGAGGCAGTAATTGAAACCGTAGACAGTGTTGTCATGTCAGTCAGTCGCCAAGGCACCTTGGACAGGTCTGGAGAAGACAAAGAGGCGCCCTCAAGCGCCAAGGCTTCGTCTAGTATCGTCCAGTCCCTGGAGGCTCAAATCTCATTGGTCGCAGATGATGCCACCTCCCTGGAAGTCACGCAGCGAAGTCTGGCTGTCACCGTGGTCACCCTGAAGCCCTACCAGCAGGATGAGGAGACGCAGTTTCTGTCGGTGCTGGACGAGGATGACCCCGACTCCACCACTCTCCAGGACGGGGATGTGCAGACAGTACCAAAAAAGGCCAGAGGGGACTCTATGGGTATGTCGTGGCCGATCGATACATCCATCACCATGCCGGCTGATCTAGGCACTCAGGCAGCGGAAAGTCTTGGATATGGTAAGACACACTTAGTTATCACCAAGTTTTAGTAAGTGAGTAGGAGATTATCACAAGTTGTCGTTAATAAATCGCAAGTCAGTCACAAGCAATCGTTAGTCACATCACTAATAAAAGTCAATCATAAGTGAATTTCAGTCACAAGTCATTGCAAGTCGTCTGAAATCAGGCACAAGTCACAAGGCAAACACGAGTAAATCACAAGTCTCGCTGTCAAAAGTCAAGCCACAAGACGTACCAATAATCCATTCCTCCCAATTTGGCACTGCGGATCTCCGTTACACGCTAAATACGACGCTCGGTGGTGACTGCAGCCGACTGCAGCCCGATATCCCTAATCTTCCTTGAAATCTCTGTCTTGTTGAGCGTGTTGGTGTTTAGGATTCCTCACATGGATTTGTCATTTTACAGTGCAAAAGCAAATTGCACAGGTAAAAAACATGCACGAGGTTAACCACAAAAAAGTGCACTGATAAGTTATACCTTAATGGACTTATTAAAAATGAAGTCACGTCGGAATGAAAGGTTTCTGCAGGAAATAACACCTGCGCCCACGGAAGCCACAAACTAGTGACTGCAACCATTTCCATAGACTTGTTTATACTACCGGCTGATGTCATCCTGTTCGAACAAAACATGAGTTGTCATTACCGAAATATCGTTTCCGCTCGACCAAACCAGATGTTTGAAGACCCTTCCTTGTCTTGAGGATGCAAACATGTCTACATCAATAGAGGGTGTCTTGGGGTGAAAACTGTGGAACGTATTTCCCGCCTTTTTTTCGTCCCCAGACGACCCTGGGCCGCTGCATGTGAGTTTCGTCTTGTACCAGACTGACGCACTCTTCCCTTTGAAGAATGCCACTGGTTTGTTCTCCGTGAACACAACCGGCGAATATTTCACTTCCGGACGAGTAATATCCGCTACCGTTGAGGGCGTGCAGCTGGTAAACCTTTCGCAGCCGGTCATCGTGGAATTTACTCCTCATCAGGTGTGTGGATTTAGTTTGTGACTTGAAAAAATATCAAATCATTCTTCTAATTTCTTACTTCACTCTTCTTCTGAAACCTCTTCTTTCTCCATTATCGTACTTTTTGTAGGACTGGAACGAGTCTATTGGAGTCGCGGAGTGCGTCTTCTGGGATTTTAGTCTGGACAACGGCACCGGTGATTGGTCGTCAGATGGGTGTTCGTATGTTGAGTTTAACGAGGGTCGTATCGTCTGTCACTGCAAACATCTCACAAACTTTGCTGTACTGATGGTAGGTGCTGATAGTCTTTAATTCAAGTCTTCTTTCAAGTGTTCAAAGCAATGATGATTCCATGTCCATGGCACTTGGAAAAAAATTGACTAGGGACTGGATTTTGACTTAGGTAAGGCAATATAAACAGACTGAGCTTGGGTTCCTCGTACACCAGAAGGTATTATGATACGGCTCAGTGATCCGTAAACGATTTCTCCTGAAAATCCCCCATTTCTCCAGATCCAGTGCCGTGATTAATAGTTGCATTATACGGTGGTCGACTTGAAGTATGAATTGGTTTGTTTGGGTTGACTCTGACTTCACAGGCCATGAAGGATGAATCCCTCACCTTAGTCGAGCAGTTCGTTCTGGATTTCATCAGTGCGGTTGGATGCGCTCTGTCGATAGCGGGTGTCTCTTTGACTTTGTTCACGTTCATCGTATTTGGGTAAGAGACTTTAATTGGTCTAAGGTGCGCTGTGATAAATGACGGTGAACCTGATACATCGCGACGGTGATTTGGGCGAACATTAACACTCGTATTTGTCCACACTGAGTCTCACAAACAAAACGTTACATGTAAAACGAGACTTCATAGCGTATAAAAAGCCACTTTCGGGAACACTGCCAATGTTGTTTCGTTCAGCTTATTATTTAACGCACAGCACTACATCATGTTTAATAAGCTACGCACCTTTACTGAACATGACCAAGTTTCATCTCCTTGCTGAGTTACAAAAATCTCCAAAGGGCGGTTTTTTTTTGGGGGGGGGCGGCAACAGGGCATGGCCACCCCAAAGGAAGCCTTTTATTTGAAAATCATGAAAGAAAGGCAAATTTCCTGGTCGATTTTATGTCTCTTTCTTCAAAAGCGTGTAAAATGCCCCCAAAATGTAGCCTCAGAAAGGCTATAAAAGGTTACTGGGTAAAAATGTCCAAATGTTTGGCCCCTCAAGGTGACGAGTTCCGGCCCCCCCCCCTAAAAATTCAGTTCTCGATCCATCCTTGAAATTTGCCTAGTAAAGAAATTGTTTGCTAGAGAAACAATAGAATTAAACACGCCAAGCAATGCCGCGTATATTACCTTATACTCATCTGGTACTTTGTTCATTTTTGCTAAGCGCAGCGTGTGCGTTTTGCCTTATTAAAGTATTCAGTCATATTAGCTGGGGCCGCTCCAACGAATGAGACATTTCCCCGTTGTTTCCGGCAGAAATTTGCGCGCCACCCGTTCCCGCCAAATCCTGATGCACCTGTGTACGGCGCTGCTGTGCCTCTACGTGGCGTTCCTGGCCGGGATAGATGCCACGGAGAACGGCGCCGCCTGCACGGCCGTGGCCGCCATCATCCACTACTTCACCCTGGCCTCCATGTGCTGGATGGGTGTGGAAGCCCACAACATGTACCTGCTCCTTGTCCGGTCTTCAAGGGTCGGGAGTCTCGCTTAATGATGAAGGCTTGTGTATTCGCCTGGGGTGAGACTTCGGTATACGTATACAGTCTAAGCACGAGGAAAATATTGCTGTAATTCATTCACATGTGCATATTGAATCGCTCGTTCATCATCGATACTACACGGTAGCACCTTGATGATATGTGTTCAAACGCTTGTAATAGAATTAAAGTTTAGGGCAAAAATGAATAATGTGGGGGGGGGTTCTTGATGAATCAAGATCAACCTCCAGACCAGAAGACTTTGTTAGACGCTCCATGCATTGCTTAATTTTTTGATTTATGAATAGTGATTTCTTGCGTTGCAATAAAACATCCTTATTTCTTTCTCTTTTTCCTCTTTTTGTAGGCACACCGCTGATTATTGTAGCCATCACATTTGGTGTTACGTTTCCTATGGGAACCTACCGCAGTGAAAATTTGTAAGTAACAAAATCATGCATGGAACAGCCGTAGCTAGATAAGACGTTGCTGACACGTTGGCGCGAAACAGCCTTGATTGATGACAAATAGTTTTGCATTAAATTTCACGAATGTGTATACAAGCTTGCATATGGTTACATCTGTATTATCCTTGAGCCAATGGACTTCCCGTTTCAGACATAGGCCTAACACTCACCCCACCATCAATTTTACTACCGGAAAGCAAGGAAATCATTAGAGAATGACGGCCTTTTTGGCGAATTGTAAACATTTCCAAGTGCAATAATGTCACAGCCCTATGACTAAATAAAGGTCGCCTTTTCTGTCATCAGGCAACGGGGTCGTTCCTCTTTCCACAGTTTATAATAGACACCGTCTCAGAATAACTCAGTATACCATTAACGCCGCGATCCAATCTGGTCTTGGCTGTTCAGGCCAGTTCTTATACTTTTAATTCCGAGGGGATGTCTGAACAGGATTTGAAATTTTCTGGGTGGCAAAAAAGTCCTACCTCGAGGTTTTCTATTGTAAACTGTTTATAAAGCTGTCTTTGACTGGTACAGCTGAGAAAACGAAGACAGAGAGCAACATAGATTAAGAAAGATTAAATCCAACAAATGGCAGGTTGTTAGCTCTTTCTGAATCAGACATGCGTGAAGAAAAAAAAGAAAAGAAAAGCAATTAGAAAACTGTGTCTGGTATATCATCAATCAAATCAAATGAATTTGTGACAGAATATCGGCAAAGAAGATCTTAACCTCAGTAAAAGGAGCCAAATTATACATGCATTTGAGAATTGTTCTTATAGTGTTGGAGGGTTGGTGTCTTTGGCACACCACACCCCTCTGTCGAATGCAAAGAGGTTGGATATTGTGGAAATAAATTGTTGACCTATAAATCCCTTCAGCACGTACCATGTCACTATTAAAATGTCACTGAATTGTTGGAATCATTCCTGATTTCAGAGTCAACGGCAAGTAAGACAGTTATGACCGAAGAATAAGATTTCTTAGGATGATTATTTTGGGATTATTGATTTCTAAACTAATCTCCCTTGTGACGACGTGCTTGAACCTTTTTGTTTTCTCTGTAGTTTTGCACCGTTTTTTAAATTCACTAATCACGCCGTAGGAGAATGGTATTTGGCTGGATGTATCTCTTGAGTTTATGTTGTATTTCTGAACTTTCATTCTGTAGATGCTTCCTGTACCATGGCCCCGCCCAGTATTATGGGCTCCTACTACCCATTGGGGTGGTACTTCTCCACAATATTGTGACCTTTGTTCTCGTTGTCCGGAGCTTCATCAAGAACGACATGGGTGGCAGCGTCAACAAGCAAAAGACCCAGATGGAGAAGGTGACGTGCCGCTTGCAGAACGCCGTCTGCATATCCGTGCTCCTGGGTCTATCCTGGGGCTTTGGCTTCCTGTCCATCACCCTCGGCTCCTTCGCCTATCAGCTCCTCTTCTGCCTCGCCAACTCTGTCCAGGGTTTCCTGGTCTTCGTCCTGTTCTGCGCCCGCTCCACCGACGTCCGCAAGGCCTGGCGGAAGGCCCTTCCCATCGAGTGCAACGTTCGTGGCCAGAGCTACAAGATTCAGGAGCGGGCACGTACCAACATCTTTGCCGTGGACGCGTGGAATTGCCCGGCCAAGCTCTCGGAGGAGGACGGTCCAGGCCTAGATATCTACATGTACAACAGCTGGTCCGGAGATGGTACCAGCCGATGGGAGGAGAGCAGGTACATCTCCTACACCTCGCAGATGTCACACGTCAGCAACGGGACGAATGTCATCCGTCCCTTCAGCATATATAGCTCGGAAAACGGCACCGTTGGCCGCAAGAAGCACAGTCTGTTTTGAGAGTTGTCGCTACGGCCATTGTGGACAGAAACCTTTGGCTAACTCGTCAGAATGAGCTAATTACAAAAACACCAAAACCCAGCCTATTCCTAGGCCGTAAGCTGCCTTGTACGCATGCAGCCATCTTGTTTTGTGTGAACAATCTCGTGGTGATCAGAACGAGGCTACGTATATTTGTGCGTTTAACATACTGGAACAAGAACTGCTCAACATGATCGATTGCACTGACGACTAAGTGTTTTGTGGTTTCAATAAAACAAATATATGCATAATGAAAACATGGAATGAAAAATTCATATTCTTTGCATTAATAAGTAGACCTATAATAGTTTACTTTAGATGTATGATTGAGGGGCCGTCTTTGCCAGATGTATTTGAAGGTATGACTCGTATTTGTTAGATATGACTTGTGTCAGTGACTGTAGAACTTAGATGCACACTTCAAGGAGTAAAGTGAAAGATCTTCCAATATTCTCACAAAGAGATAGAACGGAGCCTGTGCAGTTTGAAAAGCTTGCATCTTGTGCGTACAGTGTTGATTGCCACCGGTAATCTGTTTAAGTTCTAAGAAGGTGAGTAAACATGTAACTAACCTATGTCAAACGGCGCCTTCAAAGTAAAGTTTCAATAAAGTCTCGTGTTAAACCTTTGTTTCTTAAAAATATGAAATATAACGTGAGTTTTTCCCCAAAACTGCATGTGTAACATTAACTTTTCCAGTTAAATTGTATTTATACATGTTTTTGTATAACTGCAGGATTGGAAAAAATAAGACAATAAATGCACGTCAAGAGACTAGTAGAGTACACTCGTAGACTCAGTTCCTGTCAACGTTCTGATACAAAATTAGCTTACTTGAACCAGAAAGCGGCGAGTAAGTCTGTCAGATGTTTCCAGGTTGCTGCACATCATTATGATATTAGGAAAGCCTTCAAAAAGTCTCCCAGGGCCATCTGTATTACACGTACTTCGTCTGTTGCCTCAATGAGTATGCGCATTTGTCACCAAGGAAGACCAATCAACCATGTCGCAGCGTTTCCAAGTCTCAAATTATGGGATGCAGTCTTCGAGTTGCTGTATTTCAAAAATGCATACAGTGTCCGCTGCACCCAATCAGTGGTGCTGCAATATTAAACTCCCTTCAAGTTGATATCGCTTCTCTTGGTTGAACTGTGATGTAAATAAAAATTGCTGGTCGTGCAATCGCCTGCTCGTGTGGCCTGTCGAATTTGTAACCTTGTTCCGTCGTTCTTTCGTTTTTCTTTAGCTGTACATGTAACTGGTTTACTACGTTAACATAGCCTTGTTCCTGTGTCTGTACACGAGGTTCAGATTTCCTGTTCATTGTCCTTTCTGATTAGACCTACATATAGACTGGTAAAGTTGTTTTGATGATTCTTTTAGACGGAAATTTCAGCCTTTATGAGTTTTTCAATAAATATTTTTTTCGAAACTAAAGTTATAAAAATGAACTCCGAATTTTGCAGTGCGAAATGGGTTGATACTTTGATCGGCATAAGGTTTGCAGTGCAAATGTGCCGTCTCAAAATCAATTTTCTGTTTTGGATGAAATTTTCTGCTTTTGGTAATGGAATTGAAACTGTCGGAGGATCGATCCAGAATGTCATTTCGGTCTTGTACAAGGTTAAGGTTTTCTTCTGCCCTCGAACTGAGCATTCCTTCATTTTCTTTATTTGGACTGACCGACCTCTAAGCTGGAGGAAGATGCCATGAAAAGGTTACAATGCCCATGGGCATGAGACAATGGTCATTGTGCCCTGTCCAGTTGCGAGTCTTGTTCACAATCGGATCTACTTCCAATTTGTCATTGCCGCAAGGAACGGTCCTGTAATCTCTGTCTCACAAAGAAGGAATTTTCTAATTGAAATGCCGCAGATCAATAAGACGAAGTTCTTCATAATTTCAAGTCACAAAAACGGAACTAGGGAAGCTTGTAAACAGGTTGCGATATCCCTGTGTTTATTTTTCATCTTCGGGACTTACGTGAAATCCTATCAACTGCTTTTTACCCATCTTGGAAGGCTCCAAAATTAATTTGCTCGATGGAAATTGTCTCACTGAGGAGAATTATTATTTTGCAGAAAAGAGGTTGCCACTCGCTGATTTGTTTCGCGGCGTAATTGATTGGTACCACCCCCCCGTGATTTTACCTGTCGGGCCTTGCGCATGACTGCATTCACAATGGCAAAGCAGATTGCACTATAAGTCGGCTCATCTGCACTTTACAGCGGACGGGAAATTGACGACTTTATTCGAAGAAACGTGTGTTTTGTTTACAGCAAAATAGTAAAACGAAGAGAAAGAGTAGCGCCAGGAGAAACTTGTGGACATCATTTCCACCCGAACTTCAAAGGCGGGCTTTTGCAGCAAATATACAGAAAATGTTCAGTTTAACGTACTTTTCCTCTTCTTTGGTTTCTCTCAATAATTTGACTGGAGACATCCCGAAAGATAACAGCAAGCCATGCATTGTATTTTCCTTCAAATAAGGTTGAAAAATAGACCATCTTGATTGTTGAAAACTTCTTTCAAGAAAAAGATCGACGGGTGCATCTTTGTACTTTCCAACTCAAAACATTACAATATAAACCGTGCAAATTGGAGAGTTGCGCACGTGCATTATAACACATGATAACATTCAGGAAATAAGCCACCATTTCATTGAAGACGAGATCTTAAATCACTGCAAAACCTTTTTGACGTGACATTTTATGACACCCCTGGGTCACTGAAGGATGCGTGCTATTTCAAGAAATCTGCTCGCGGCTCTTACGTGGTTGAAATTGTCTGGATGTTGCTATAGCATACCAAGTCTGCCCTTGGAAACAGATATTAGTCTTACAGGGTAAAGCTACTTACGAGAATAATGATATATATCAAATTTCATCTGTGGTCAAAACAAGTGTCATCATATTCAGAGTTCTTACTCAACGACCAATTGAGTGTCTTTGTTAGCAGCTATCCTACACGACAATAACTTGCTCGGGGTCCAAGCTCATCACGCGTGCACAGAGTGTGCTTGAATGCCAAGATTGACAAGCGTCAATTTGTAACTTTTCCAAGCTCAGCTTCGAGGTTGATGGCTGACACCCTAGCTGGAGCCTTGGTCGTCGGTGA